GGTTAAGGGGTTGGTTTCTCAACTCCCATAATAAGAATTGGATAAAGTAGTGGCTGAAGGAACTGAGGAATGTTCTGTTCTGGGGAAAACAAAAGCTTAGAAGGGCCATGGTAGATGCTTTCAGATATTTTGAACAATACGTCAGTGTAACTCCAGAAGGCAAATGGAAGCCCAAAGATAAAAATCAGTGGGGGACTTCCCTGGTGGCACAGTGGTTAAGAATCCTCCTGCCAATGCAGCGGACACAGGTTCAAGCCCTGGTCCCAGAAGATCCCACATGCCACGGTGCAACTAAGCCCATGTGCCACAACTACTGAGCCAGCGCTCTAGAGCCCGTGAACCACTACTGAGCCCGCACGCCACAGCTACTGAACCAGCGCTCTAGGGCCCGCGAACCACAACTACTGAAGCCCGCGTGCCTAGAGCCCGTGCTCCGCAACGAGAAGCCACTGCAATGAGAAGCCTGCGCACTGCAACGAAGAGTAGACCCCGCTCACCGCGACTAGAGGAAGCATGCACAGCAATGAAGACCCAACGCAGCAAAAAAAAAAAAAAAAAAAAAAACCAGTGGGAAGGTTCAGTATAGATTACTAGAATGGGCTGCTCCTCACCAACAGAAATCTTCAAGCAGCTGGCAGGAATGTTACAAAGGTTAATTCCTCACTGAGTTTTAAGTTATTTTAGATAACTTCTAAGGTCCCTTCCAACTCCAAGATTCCATGACTTTGTTATTCATATTTAAAATGTAGTATACAGAAAAGGTTTGGGACTTCCCTGGTGGTCCAGTGGTTAAGAATCCACCTTCCAATGCAGGGAACGCCGGTTGGATCCCTGGTCGGGGAACTAAGACCCCACATGCCGTGGGGCAACTAAGCCCGTGCGCTCTAGAGCTCACGCACCACAACTAGACAGGAGCCTGAGTGCTGCAACAAAGATCCTGCAACTAAGACCCAATGCAGCCAAATAAATATTTTTTAAAAAACCTTTAAAAAGAAAAGGTTTCATTTTGCATAAAATTTTTAAATTGTTCCATTTTTAAGAATGAATCTGAAGTACTCAATGAGTTTAAGAAAAACCCCCATATGAAGCATAACTCTCTGTGGTTGTTATACAGTTTTAGGTAGACAGTGAGTATAAATACCTAATGCTCCATTATTATTTCCCCATTCTGCACTTGCATCCCCGGCTGGCTGCAGTGATACCACCCTCAGATATTCTGAGATGTATGGGAGAATGCCCTTCATTCTAGCCTCATTAAAATGGAAACCTCCAGCCTCTTGCGTGTTGAGGTAGAAGACACCTGGGTTTTTAAAAACCTGTTTTAAAAACACATATCATAAACCGTTTGTAAACAAAGTATTTTATTGTAGGAATAACAATATATGGGAACACAGCGCTCTGCAACCATGGGCTCCACTAACTTTGGATCAAAAATATTAAAAAAAAAAATTCCAGAATGTTCCAAAATGCAAAACTTCAATTTGCCATGTGTGCTGGCAACTATTTACGTATCACTTACATTGTATTTACAACTAACATAACTAAACGTTATGTTTTACATAACATTTACTTTACATTAGGTATTACAAGTAACCTAGAGATGATTTAAAGTATATGAAGGATGTGCATGGATTATATGCAAATGCCATGCCATTTTAGGGACTTGAGATCAATTTTGGTATCTGAGGGAGTCCTAGAACCAACCCCCTGCAGATACTGAGGACAACTGTATTTTATAGATTTCTGGGCTTGCGGCATGTAGGATCTTTAGGCTGAGAAAGATGAGGAGAGGCCAAAAGTAGTAGAACCTGACAAGGAAAATTCATTTGAGATTTTCTCTTTGCTCCTGCCTTACCTGCCCTTGTATCCAACACACACAAAAAAATGTACTCTTTGTAATAAGTTAGACTTTTTTTTTTTGTGGTACGCGGGCCTCTCACTGCTGTGGCCTCTCCCGTTGCGGAGCACAGGCTCCGGACGCGCAGGCTCAGCGGCCATGGCTCACGGGCCCAGCCGCTCCACTGCATGTGGGACCTTCCCGGACTGGGGCACGAACATGTGTCCCCTGCATCGGCAGGCAGACTCTCAACCACTGCGCCACCAGGGAAGCCCAATAAGTTAGACTTTTAAGCAGGTTTTTTTTTTTTTTAAGGTGAACTGGACTCTTGGGCTTAAGTCTGTATCACTTCTACAGCAATTTACAAAGCACATTTCACAACATGGTAAAATGGGTATCACTATCTCATTTTTCAGAGACTGGTGCAGCCCAGATACAAGCAGCCCTGGAACCCAAACTTAGGTTCAACTCCAAATGCTGTGCTCCGTCTCCAGAGCACAGTGCCTGTAGAAGAGCCCAACCTCACACCCAATCCCATAGCCTCTTGAGGTTCCTGGGTAGGGAGCAAAGAGTACAACAAAAGTAGACTCACTCTGCCCTGAGTGGTAGGCAGTCTGAGGGAGCCATGTGACAGAGCGGCCTATGGGAAGAGGCAACAGGATAACCAGGTTCAGAGAAGCTAGGAAAACTGGAGCAGAGCAAAGATGACACAAGTCAGGCAGAGTAGCACCAAGGCTGCCTTGAGAGCTGGGCTGCCTGTCTCTGTTTTGCTACAAACAGCTTTACTCATTGGAGGAAGAGGACAGTGCAAGCTGCTCTAGTTAACACTTCTTCCCATTGTTGCCCTAGGTGAGTAGTATTACAGATCTTTGTCATTCTTGTCTGTCAAGCTAAGTTACTGCTTCCCTTGTCCTTAGCTATTTGAATGTATTTCATTCAGTCATTCGATATGCCAGACATGTGTTACAGGCTAGGCTGCCTGGCCCTCAAGTTGCTGACACCATGCAGAGCATGGACAGTCATGAAAAGGTTCATGACTCCAAGTTTTAGACTGAACATTATGAGCAAAGCCCACCTGGAGAAGATGGAGGGACACGCCCCCCCCCCCCCCCCCAGCTCAAATGTCTCCAAACCTATGGCCACCGGTCATGACAAGGTACTGAGTTTGCACTCTCAGAATGTGTAGATGCCCGCCAAAGTGCAAATTATACAAATTATATCAGTTTAGAGAATGAAACTATTTAATACTGAGCTAAGAGTTGATTATAATTATTTCTCTCAGCAAGTGGGTAACTCCGTTCTTGAAAACAAATTCTGTTACCGAAATAATAGCCAAATATAGCTCCAGATAAGAGACATGGTTGGAGCCCTCACTGTCATGCTGGTAGTAGGTGGTTGCAGACTTGTGAAATGTTTAACGGGAGCAGTACTTCCTTAATTCAAACTTAAAAGAGCCTACTTAAAGTGCACTGCTTTGGAGGTTAGCAGAAATCTATGTTCTAGCCTAGGAGTGGGCAAACTTTTTACAAGTAAAAGGCTAGGGCTTCCCTGGTGGTGCGGTGGTTGAGAGTCCGCCTGCCGATACAGGGGACATGGGTTCGTGCCCCGGTCTGGGAAGATCCCACATGCCGCGGAGCGGCTGGGCCCGTGAGCCATGGCCGCTGAGCCTGCGCGTCCAAAGCCTGTGCTCCGCAACGGGAGAGGCCACAACAGTGAGAGGCCCACGTACTGCAAAAAATAAAAATAAAAAAAAAAGAGGTCAAATGGCAAACATTTTCTGTGGGCCACATGGTCTCTATCCCAGCTACCTGATTCTGCCTTTGTAGCAAAAATGGAGCCGTAGACATTATTAAACATATAGATGTGACTGTGCTCCAATAAAACTATTTTCAAAATAGGCTGCTGGTCTGAAAGTCTTTGTCTAGCCCCATGAAATGGCATCTCAGAACAGCAACAAAACCTCCTAAGGTCTCTCTTCTCTATGTTTCCTCATTACCCCAGAAGGCTATGTCACTGAAAAGGGGATCCTAGTGCTCGTAACATGTTCCCTACATGAAATGGTTCCTGGAGGGTAGCAGGGCTGAGAAGTATTAAACAAGGCTGTGGATGCTATAAGGGGACAACAAAAGGCCTTGACTTCCTGACTACCTACCTGTGTCAGGGTCAGATCCACACAGAATGGGAAACAATCTACTCTAGCTCTGTTTTTCATTCCTTAATTTCTCAGTTTCAAGGAGTGCAAGTTACACCCCTAGCCAAATCTTCTATCCTGTTGCCTCTCAGGGTCCCACACTACAGACTGTTCTGCGGCTTCATCTCCCCCTCACCTAGACATGCCCCCTACAAGTTGCTTCTAACTTATACCATCGCCTTCCCTCTTCTAATTCACAATGTATCAAAAGCTCCGATTGCAAAAGCAAATTGATATTTATAATATGCAACTTTTTACTAAAGCAAAATCATTGCTCATAGTCCAAAAAAAGATATCTGCCAAAGAACCTGCTATTAAATGAACTGCAACTTTTGAATTTATCTGCTGTGCCACGTCATTTAAGAGCATCCTGTTTGACCTTCCAGTTTTGACCTCATTCATGAAGCTGTAGTGTGTTTATCTACTACACAGTGAGCAGGGATGAGCAACGATAGCTGTTTTCTGATGTAACAGAGAAGCATATTTGGCCTGGACATATTATGGTTGCAGAAGGAATAAAGGCATTTCCTAAAATGGGATTCTACCTGTATCATCCAATGGTGGACAGAACAGAGCTGGAGACTGGGCACAGAGACAAGGCAAATCATTTGAAAGGGAAGGAAAAGAGAGAAAAGTAACCACTGGTGTATTTTCTTAGGGATAAAGAGAGTTGAGTCTGATCTTGAGTTGAATATGACCACTAAAATAAGTTTATATAGTTAAGTTTTCCTGAGATACCATGGTATTTTAATAATGATTCAATTTTTTAAAATATATATATATATATAACCTAAAATAGTTTAATTGAGCTTAACTCTTCCAACTCCTCAAATCCTTTAGGGAAGAAATATACTAGAATATATAACAAAACATGTAGCTGCATAAATGATCCTTAAAATCTTATAAAGGAGACTATTATGGTCAATTTTAACCGATAAGGATAATTTCTCAATTAAAATAAGAGGAACTTACCTGTAGAATTTCAGATGAGACTAAAACACTAGCTGAAGTTTTTGTTTTCCGTATTCCATGCTTTAATTAAAAGATATGCCGTGCACTACTGAACAGAAGAACAGAAAAAGAATATATCTCAGTCATAACTTAACAACATTGGGCATGAGACATCTAAAATTAATGTTCTATACCTAACAAGCTGCTATAGGAGCAAACCATTATATATCAACATTCTTTTCATTTTTGGAAAAGCTTTGATCCTCTCTTCTTCCTCCTTGCTCTCAAATCACTTCATGCATCTCATCTGGAATTATACTTGGCCACTGTCTTGATAACAGGCTTTATTTTCAGGACTGGAATTACCCAACAACCATTCATTTGAATGAACTTTCTAGTCAGGAGAAAAAACAAAAAGGTCTTAGACTCTTATCTCTAAATAGTAAATAGTTCCCTTCTCTACACTGATACAGGTTCAATGTATGCTTTTATCAGCACAAAATCAGCTCCCTACCTCTGTCTAAGCCGCCTGGGGAAAGCTAAAACACAAAGCTGTTCCCAGGTGAAGACTGCAAACTCAAATCTTCCTCACCTCTGAAAACAGAAAAAAAGACATGGTTTGGTAATTTGTTCCTTATTGATAGCTCTACCTGACAAACCAGCCACCTCCTAAACGCTGGTACTAAGTGCAAAACACATGAAGGAAAGAAAACCGTCTCTGCTTTGCACATTCTCCTTCCTACAACAGTGGAAGAGAGAGAAGAAACACGGAATGCCACTCGTGCTTGCTGCTGGCATCATTCCCTATTGCTTGAAAAGTGAGGCTCCATTGCACCTTAAAGATTTCCTTTAAAATGCCTTGTATGCTTGCTAAGACCCCTTTTAAAAATCTTGTAGCCCTAGCCTCTTCGGGTTTCCTCCTCTCTCTGGCCAATTCGCCCATTCTCCTCCTTAGGTCCACATTCCTCCCAACCCCTCCCCAGGAGGAACAAGCCTCCCACAATTCGGCTGCTGGGCCTTTCCCTAACTCCTTGTCAAGGCTTTACCCCAGGCCTGCTTGGGGAATCCGACACCGAATCACCGTCCCCGTCCTCTCCCCCGCCGACCCGCCCAACTTGCTTGGTGCTGCTCCCCGAGGAGACGGGAAGGGAGTAGTCTGCGCGCTGGGGCAGAGCAGGGCGGACAGCGTGCTGCTCCTCGCAGCCTCGGCCTGGCCCTACCACGCACCCCGGCGCTCCTAGGTGTCGCCCGCGGCCCCACCTCCCGCGCTCACCAGGCGGGGGAATGAATAGTCGCGGAGGCCCAAGCGTCCGGGCGCGGCCGCTCGCGGCTCAACCCCGGCCGCGCTCCGGAAGAGGGCCGGAGGAGTGGGCGGCGCCGCCCGGCCCGCCTCCCGGCCCAGCTGCCCGGGCCTCGGTGTCCCGGAGGAAGGCGCGTCACCGCCGGAGCAGGTCCCAGCGCTACGCCCGCCACCCAGCCCGAGGGCCTCCGAGGCCTCCGCGCCGCCCCAGCACCCACCCCGGACCACACTCACCACCCCCCGCGCGGCGCGCACCGTGCTCCGACGTGGGTGGATGGCCTAAGCTTCAGCCCCGCGCGCATACTCAGCCTTACCGCAGCAGCACGCGCGGCCGGGCGCGCGCAGACCACGCGCCGGGCCCTAAGCCCCTTGTCCTCTCGCTCGCACGCACGCACGCGCGGGCCTTGACCCCCCCCCAGGAGGGTGGCGTCGCGCGGCACCCAGGCCTCCGCGCTGATCCGGGCGCGACCTCGGGATTCTCGGCTTCACCTTGCATTCCATGCACCGGGCTGCTAGGTAGTCATTTTACATTTGAGCTTGGCAGCGGTTAGTCGATGGGCTGACCTCGGGAAGGATTTCTGTTGAAGACTCGCTTCTCTTTGCCCCGGCTTGCCCTATTTTCAAGTTGCGTAAGTGCCCGGCCTCGCGGCAGTCCGGGAGGTATTTACTTATTAAAATTCGCACAGAGCTATGAAGGGAAGAAGACATCTTGGGAAGTTCTTTGCTCTTGCAGACGAAATGCGCGTTCTCCTTCTAGACTCAATAGAAAAAGAAGGCTGGGGATACGTCGGGGTTGCAATGGTCTGGGGTGTGGACAGTAGTCCCGGGAGCCGCATGTTCTCGAGAAATGCCTCTCGAAACCCTCCTTTGGTCTGGAGAATTCAAAGGTCTGCCCCACCCTGAGTTGCACTAACTGTTGCTTCTTGGGAAGAACGGAGAAGCTTTGAGGCGCGGGAGCTGAGTGTGCTGTATGGGCTCTGGTTGCACCGGCCTCTGGGTGGAGGTTGTTGAATTAATTCGGAAATAGTATTTACTCTCCTCTCTCGGCACCCCTGAAACAGTGCCATCTGAAAACAGTTCCGCATTCAGGCCGCTTGTCTGTGGCACAGTGAACAGGTCGGCAGAGGCATCACGGTGTGAAAAGTTGAAAGAATAGTTCAGTGAACAGCCATGTACATTCCTCCGAGAATGAATAACTCAGCATTTTGCGGTTAACTGCTTTCTTTCTCTCTCGCCTAAGTAAAGACAAAGACATTCTCCTATGCAACCACGTAAGAAACTAAATTACATCTAAGAAACTTAATAATTTGACATCACCTAATATCCAGCCCATATGCAAATTTCTCCAGTTATCAAAAAAAGTCATATATTGGTTTTGTAGAAAGGTAGTCCCATGGCGTCCAGTTCTTATTTAAGGGATGCAATATCTTCTCTTACCGAATGGATAATAAAACAAATCTCAGGACTTTCTCTTTTAAGTTTCCTGTTTCCTGAATTGTCTATTTAATCTTTTTTTTTATTGTTTTAAGCTCTTTCAAGTTAAAGACTTTTTTTCAAATTTGTGTGTATCTCTGCCTAACATTTACATTAAAGACTGCTGCTAGTCAAAAGAAAAAAAAGAGTCCTGTGAAGATTCATGCATTGTATTTGTTATGGTTGTCTCTTTCTTTTGGTGGTATGCGGGCCTCTCACTGGTGTGGCCTCTCCCGTTGCGGAGCACAGGCTCCAGACGCGCAGGCTCAGCGGCAATGGCTCACGGGCCCAGCCGCTCCGCGGCACGTGGGATCCTCCCGGACCAGGGCACGAACCCGCATCTGCTGCATCTGCAGGAGGACCCTCAACCACTGCGCCACCAGGGAAGCCCTGGTTGTCTCTTTTAATGCGGAGCAATCCTCCACCTGTTTTGTTTTTGTGGTATTAACTTTTTAAAGGGTCTAGGCCAGTTATTTGGCAGAGGGTTCTACTTTCGCAATTTGTCTGACCTTGTTTTCCTCCTGATGTCATTTAGTTTTTTCTCTAGATCCCATATTTCCTGTAAGCTCGAAGGAAGGTTGAGAGGTTTGATTAGATGGCAAGAATCCTTCTAAGATGGCACACTTTATGAGGTGCTCTTATTGTTTTCCATCAGCAAGAACGTAATAATAAATATTAAACCCCTGTTATTTTTATATGCATAATATTAGGTTGTCCCAGTATCAGTGGTCACTGAAATCTGAAGTGTTCTCCAGATTTCTCTATTAAACTACATTTTCTCTTTTGTGGTTAATAGGTAATCTGTGGGGTGGAGACTTTGGATCTGTTTGGAGGAGAAAGTCTTAGATCCCTGCAAGGAGGACATGGGTTACAAATCCATTCACCTAGGTGGATAGAGTAATCATCTGGATCATTCTGGTACCCAGTGTTAGGCGCTTCATTGAATTAGGTACTAGCTTCATTCAAAGAACAGTAAAACTCTGGACTCTGTGGAGTTTGGGCCACTGTAGGGTTCCTGTGGATAATTCTGGTAAAAGCAGTGATACTTTCTACAAGGTCTTGTGATGTCTGTTTTAAGAAGGCTTGATAAAATCCAAGAGGAGTTTCCTATATGTAACTGGGCATACCTGAAACTAAACCCCCAGTTCCATTCTAACAACAGAAACAAATCAAGAATATGTAATACTCTGTGTAAACTCTGTCTGTGATCACCTGGTCTCTGGCTCATATCAAAAATCTGGGGGCGTGAGCTCATCCGTTTAAGCTTATAAGCCCCACTGGGTGAGATCTATGTCAAGTTTACTCTGTATAACAATGACCACTTCAGCTCCCACAAGAGGAGTCTCAAAGGGCATCTTCTATTCCACAGACAAATGTAGGGTTCTAAACAGAGAGCCTGTATCTCCACTTTTATAATTTTTAGTGAGTCAGTCAGTGGATCATATCAGTGGTTTTTGTTTGCATCAGCAAATTAGTGTCTGCTCATGCCTCTGCCAGTTGATCTGAATTTCATCAGAGTCAGCTTTCTAAAAGTCCAAGGCAGAAGCTGCAAGGCAGAAGCTAGACTTGAAAGTTATGTTGCATCATTTTTGTGACATTTTATTGGTCAATAGGAAGCATAGGACTGTTCAAGATTCAAGGGGAGGGGATCAGACAAGGCATGAACACGAGGAGATGAGGCTCACTGCGGAGTCGGAGGGAAAATATTTGGAAAGGAGCTACCACACTGCTCTAGGCCAAATGCAGACTTAGATGTGTAGTATTGATCATAGTGGTGCTTTGCTCAAAATCAGGTGGGTCTGGATCATCTATTTAACTTCAAGCCTCATCATAACCACCCATCCCCAATTGTGATCTACACATTTACATGAAGACTATAAATATGGGCCCCCATTTCTTTTTTTTTTTTAATTAATTAATTTATTATTTAAGTTTGGCTGCGTTGGGTCTTCGTTGCCACGCACGGGCTTTCTCTAGTTGCGTCAAGCGGGGGCTACTCTTCGTTGCGGTGTGTGGGCTTCTCATTGCGGTGGCTTCTCTTGTTGCGGAACACGGGCTCTAGGTGTGGGAGCTCAGTAGTTGTGGCTCACGGGCACTAGAGCACAGGCTCAGTAGTTGTGGTGCACAGGCTTAGTTGCTCCGCAGCATGTGGGATCTTCCTGGACCAGGGATTGAACCGTGTACCCTGCATTGGCAGGCAGATTCTTAACCACTGCGTTACCAGGGAAGTACCCCCCGCCCCGTTTCTTTTTGTTTACAGATTTCTTGGTTCAACTGCTTGTCCCTTACAAAAGCATTGTTTTTTTGTTTTTTTTTTCCCCTATGGGAAGGAGAAAGAATAGGGTCGTGAAATGTACATTTAAAAATTATTTATGGTATTTTGGAGGTTCTCTGAAAATAATAGAGGTGGAAGTAGGAGTTAAAATGGGTGTACAACAAAATTATTTGTGGATAGTAGCAGTGTAAGTCTAGGCACTGGACTTCTTTGACACTGTGTAAATATTCAGATCTGAATCCCTGGTTGTGATTCTTTTTCTGGCTCCAGCCCTGGCAGGTAGCTGTGCCCTTTGCAAAGGGTAAAGTGATTGCTACCTGCTGATGCCTTTATCACAACCATTCTTCACCTCACCTTGGCTGACAGTTCACCTCACTAAGTAAAGGAAATCCATTGGTAACAAAACTAGGAAGGCTCCATTGCAAATAGAGTAATATACGGAAAAAAATAGACCTCTGTATTTGGAAGGATGCTTTAGGACACTGATATTATATCTTACAAATTCTGTATTTTTATTTTTGAAAAGTTATATTCCGATACCTGTTTTTAAAATGTTTTGAATGTCCTATGAATAATGAGTGGATATATGTGCTCATAGATGGCAAAGCCTCCCTAGGATGCAAAACAGAGCCATGGACAGCAGACTAGGGGGACGAAATCCTCTCAAGTGAAATGATTGGGAAGAAAAGGTCCAAAACCTTCGAGAGCTTATTTCCTTCGAGGCAGTTTCCTTGTTCCTTGTGTAGCGTTTATTCAGCTTGTGATTTAGTTATCTATTGCATCTCATATATTAAAAATATCCATTTAATATTTCTCACGATTCTGAGGGTTGGTTGGCTGACTCCTCTGTGGTTTTGTCTGGATTTACTCACACAGTTATATTCAGCTATAACAGGGGCTGGCAAAAGTTTCTGTAAGGGGTGGTAGATCGTGCATATTTTAGGTTTTGTGTCTGTTGCATAGTCTTCTTTGTTATTTATTGATTATTATTATTTTTTTTTTTTTACAAACCTTTAAAAAGCAAAAGCTATTCGTAGCTCAAGGGCCCTACAAAGAAACAGGCTGAGGGCCAGATTTGGTCCGCAGGCTGTGGTTTGCCAACCCCTGAACTGGAAAGTCAGCTAAGCTGAAGGTCAAAGGTGACGTCACTTACATGTCTGGCACTTGGTGATGCCGTCCACTGAAGGCCATGGTTCTCCTGGAGAATCTTCAGGGCTTCTCGTCCTCCAGGGGCTCCATTGTCAGTCTGTGGGCAGCATCCAAGACAGTGGAGGTGGAAGCTGTCAGACTTGCTAAGGCATAGATGGGGAATCACACAGGGTCACATATGCCACATTCTGTGGATTAGAGGAGACCACGAGGCCAACCCAGATTGAAGGGATGGGTAGCCAGACTCCCTGTCAGTGGAAGGAGCTGCCGATATCCTGGCCACAGCCAGCTTAACTAAGTGGAGGATTTCTGCTGCCCGCATCACCCAGGGAGATGGAGGGCTGATGCTGACCTTGACATTAGATTGGCTCTCAGAGCCTTATTCAGATAACTTCACATTGAGTCATAAAACTATGGATTTCTGATCTCTGATGGCAGCTACTGTTCTTACTCTTCCTTTTGACCATATCACCCCAGACTATTTCGAATTCTGTGAGCACTCACTCATTTCCCTCAGTACTAGTTTATAGGTGTCTCTGCTAAGAGATATCAGCTCCTTGAAGGAAGGACCATGCCCTACCACTCTGCCTTGCTGTGATATATCTTCAATAGATAGGTACGGAATTTAATTAAATAGCCTAACTAAGGTTTAACATCAGGTTATTTGCTTACTTCACAAAAGCAAAACTAATTTAAGAATCTTGCACATTACCTCCAAATTCTGGAAGAACAGCATGCATCAAAGGGTTACGTTTCACACCCAAATACTGTCTAATCAATCAGATAGTTAAACTTCCTAGCAGTTTTCCAAACATATAATCAAACGTTAGGAAGCAGTATGCTTAATGACAAGTTTGAACTAGCAGTCAGCTTTAAGGACATATTACATTTTAACTCTGTGTCTGCAGATGAAAATCAAAATGTAGCAGCATAGGGAGCTCAGCTTGGTGCTCTGTGATGGCCTAGTTGGGTGGGATGTGGGTGCAGGCGGGGAGGTCCAAGAGGGAGGGGATGTGTATGCGTATGACTGAGTCACTTCGCTGTGTGGCAGAAACTAACACAACATTGTAAAGCAATTATA